GGCAGCGATATATAATTATTTGTTTGTTTGTTTGTTTGTTTTCCCATCTTTTACTACTTTTACAAATAACTCAGGGCAGTCAACTTCCTCCTATTTTCCCCACAACAACAATCTTTGAGGTGAGTTGGGCTGAGAAAAACTGACTGGCCCAAAGTCATCCAGCTGGTTTTCAGGGCCAGGTTGGACTCCTGGTCTCTTGCTTTCTAGCCCGGTGCCTAAGCATTATACAAAACTGGTCTACTGATGATATCTCAGTCCATGATAGCAGATTAATTCACCCAGCAGCTTTATCAATATGTTGAATAGAAGCAAGAAGAACACTGAATCTTACAGCACCCCACACAATAGGGGCTGAGGGTAGGATTTCCTTGCCCTGATCACCAACTAGTATCGACCTCAAAGAAAGAAGACAAACCAGCACAATACAGTGCTTCCCATCTCAAACTCTTTGGCTGGTCCTGAAGAATGCTATAGTTCAGTGGTTCTCAACCTTTTTAATGCCGCGACCCCCACCTGGTCGTAAGTCGAGGACTACTCAACCAGTTGTAAGTTGAGGACTACTCAACTGGTGCAGCACCGTTTGCAGAATGGGACTTTTGGCGGGCTCAGCAGGGCAGAGACAGCCTGGACAATTCTTATTGGCTTTTGAAAGCAAATAGAATTAGACTCTATTCAAGAGAGTCTATTCTATTGGCTTTCAAAAGCCAATAGAATAAAAGGGAGTAGCACAGCTAAGGAATAGGGGTAAAAAATGGCGGACTGCGTTGTTTGGCGACCCCCGTGAAATGGTCGTTCGACCCCAAATGGGGTCGCGACCCACAAGTTGAGAACCACTGCTATAGTTGATGGTATTAAAGATGCTAGAACCTTTCACAAGACAGTCCCTGGGTCATTTTTATAAGCCAAGAGGGGCATCGAAGAATGTTGGGAAAATAGTTCCACACGATGCCTGAAATGAAGATATAAGGTATATATATATAACAGCAATAGTAACCAGGTGCAATATATATGATAATTAAAACAATTGTGGCATTAATAAGATAATTATCACCTTGTGAATCTAATAAATATTTCATATATATATCAAAACCTATTTTTATTATTGAAGGATTGTTAAGCTTAGTTTTGCTGGGGAATCTATTGGGCCACCTTGGATGACTTAGTAGAACATATTCTAACTCATATTACCATTCCGATCAATAAATAAGCAGTAAGATAACATACACATTCTATGTATGTGGGATGCAGCAGACAAAACTAGCTGGTTTATTCCTTGCATTGTCTAATGTCTTATTGTAATAGTAAACACTAGCTTGTCTCAATCTGGTTAACCTTCATATTTGAGGTTTAGCCAAAAATTGCATATACGTATTGTGTACTGATACTAAAGGATATAGTATTGTGAAGGGACCTCTATCATGCATAATTGAACACAATAATGTGAAGATTCTACAAAGCTCTAGATGCACTCCAACTTATCTCTTAAGGCAGCGGTTCTCAATCTGTGGGTCGCGACCCTTTTGAGGGTTGAACGACGCTTTCACAGAGGTCGCCTAAGACCATCGGAAAACACATATTTCCAATGGTCTTAGAAACCGAGACACTGCTCCTCTATCCGGCCGCCACCGCCCTCCTCCTCCGCCGCCAGCTCCTCCGCCACCAGGGCTCCCTTCTCCTCCGACAGCGCCTGTTCCTGCTGCTGCACCATCACGCATGCCCCCGACACTGCTCTGGGCTGGCTCAGCGGCCGGTCCGAGCCAAGCCAGATCTGGGCCATTGCTGGCGCTGCCGTTGGGCTGCTCCACCGCTGCCGCCGCTGCCGGCTAAGCTGAGTTGCCAGCTAAGCTGCCGGCTAAGCTGAGCTGCAGCCGATCTCCACACCTCCTGGTTGCCCAGCCACGCTCCACCCCTGGCCATCCTCCATGCCATGTGGGAGCTTCCCCCACGCCGCCCAGCCAGCCTCTCTCACCCTTGGAGGCCACTTCAGCCCTCTGGCACCCAGCACGACCATAGGGCTACCGGGCAGGAGTGGCTCCTTCCCGGCTCACCGGGTTCCGGGCCTCGGAAATGGCCAGGGGGCGGGAAAGAGAGCGAGGCGGCGGCGATGCCCTCATGTGTGTCGGAGGCCAGCTGGCTGAGCTGTGAGGGGAAAAGCAGCACCTTCCGAGTGGGAGCTGGCACCCCTCTTGTGTGCAATGGGCTGCGCAGCATGGAAAGGGGCTCCCACGACTCCACCTCTGCGATGGTGCTCAAGAGGCTGGAGGGGTGGGCAGGTCCCGGGGGCAGCTGGGAGAGGGCAAGAGATGCCGGGATGAGGATGGGGGGCTCCAGGTTGGTGGATGTGAGAGGGCAGCCGGTGGCTCCGAGGTGCACAGATCCTCTGCGCAGCTTCCAAGGCCCAGATATGCCGCCGCTTGGCTCTCCACCAGGCTCTCCGCCAGAGCCTCCTTCCCTCCCCAGGCAATTGTGCGGAGCTGCTTGTCCGTCCTTGGCAGCGCCTCCCCCCTTCAATCTCCTTTCTTCTCCATCTCCTTCCTTTCCCCTTCAATCTTCCTTCCTTCCTTCCATCTCCAACTCCATCCCTTCCCCTTCAATCTCCCTCTCCTTCCTTCCTTCCTTCCTTCCTTCCTTCCTTCCTTCCTTCCTTCCTTCCTTCCTTCCTTCCTTCCTTCCTCTTCAATCTCCTTCCTTCTCCATCTCCTTCCTTTCCCCTTCCATCTTCCTTCCTTCTCCATCTCCTTCCTTTCCCCTTCCATCTTCCTTCCTTCCTTCCTTCCATCTCCATCTCCATCCCTTGGCGGGTGTGAGAGGGTGGCCGGCGGCTCCAAGATGTGCGGATTTTCCGCACAGCTTCCGAGGCCCTGGATGTGCCGTCGCTTGGCTCTCCACCAGGCTCTCCGCCAGAGCCTCTCCCCCTCCCCAGCAATTGTCCGGAGCTGCTTGTGCATCCTTGGCAGCACCTCCCCCCTTCAATCTCTCTCCTTCCTTCCTTCCTTCCTTCCTTCCTTCCTTCCTTCCTTCCTTCCTTCCTTCCTTTCCCCTTCAGTCTCCTTCCTTCCTTCCTTCCATCCATCTCCATCTCCATCCCTTCCCCTTCAATCTATCTCTCCTTCCTTCCTTCCTTCCTTCCTTCCTTCCTTCCTTCCTTCCTTCCTTCCTTCCTTCCCCTTCAATCTCCTTCCTTCTCCATCTCCTTCCTTTCCCCTTCAACCTTCCTTCCTTCCATTTCCATCTCCATCCCTTCCCCTTCAATCTCTCTCCTTCCTTCCTTCCTTCCTTCCTTCCTTCCTTCCTTCCTTCCTTCCTTCCTTCCCCCTTCAATCTCCTTCCTTCTCCATCTCCTTCCTTTTCCCTTCAATCTTCCTTCCTTCCTTCCTTCCTTCCTTCCTTCCTTCCTTCCTTCCTTCCTTCCTTCCTTCCTTTCCCTTTCAATCTCCTTCCTTCTCCATCTCCTTCCTTTCCCCTTCAATCTCCCTTCCTTCCCCTTCCCTCCCTCCCAACATTTTTGAGCAAGGAAGAGTAAGCTTCTCCAGCAAGCATTGCTATATTGTTTTTGTGATTAATCACTATGTTTTAATTATGTTCAATTCGTAACAATGAAAATACACCCTGCATATCAGATATTTACATTATGATTCATAACAGTAGCAAAATTACAGTTATGAAGTAGCAACGAAAATAATTTTATGGTTGGGGGTCACTACAACATGAGGAACTGTATTAAAGGGTTGCAGCATTAGGAAGGTTGAGAACTACTGCCTTAAGGCCTTCCAATGATGCATTCACCATCACCTCTGTAATTGAATCAATCCATTTAGCTGGTCATCCTCTTTTTCCGTTTCCTTCTACTTTTCCCAGCATTATAGATTTCCAAAAAAGCTAGATTTTCACATATATCCAAAGGGTGACAAATTGAACCTGCTCATTTGTACCTGGAGTGAGAGATGTTCTAGGATCCATTTGGTTGTTATGCAAGGTATTATTATCAGGAGTCTTCTCCAATACCAAGGTTCAAAAGTGTCAATATGCTGCTTCTTCAAAATCCAACTTTTGCTTCCATAGAGTATACCACAGGGAATACCATTCCTCCACAATTCTGATCTAAACACATCACAGCACCTGAGTATCTTTTCCAAAGCATCTGCTCTACTCAGTACTAATCTGTGGTGTAATTTGTTATTATTAGGTCCTTTATTGTTCATAATTGACTCTAAAAAGGAGTAGATTTAATATTTTTAATATCTTGCCAATTTGAAGTAGGATTGCATTAGTTCGGTCTTCTTTATATTTAATTGCAGCTGCATTTTTCATAGTATTCCTTGACTTCCATTACTTGAAAGTCATCTGCATTTTCAGCTGTTGGAGTAGTGTCATTAATATAGGACCAGGTTACTTGGTTGTGGGGTACATCAAGTGTATATGCTTTTAAACTGTGGTATATTAAGAAAATCTGATTTTTATTATTTTATTTTAAATTTATGGTGCACAAAAGAGCGGCATTAGACGATTATAGGGTGAGGTAAAGCTAGGACCTTTTGTTCAGAGGCACATTAGAAAGTCGCTGGCATTCAGGGGCTGAAGTGAACTACGAATTTGAAAAGGCCACGTGAAGGAAATGAATGGCAAAATTACAGCCTGTGGCTTCCCTCGCACTACAGTATGTTGGAGTTAAGTGTGAAAACACTCCTCCTTAAAGAGCCGTAGATAATTTAAGACTGCTTTGTCTTTGGGCTGGGAATGAAGGCCGGGTCACGTAGAATGCCATATTGCCATGGCCCAGCTGTGGGAAGGTGCAACTAGGAAACGCCCTTCAGCTTGAGTTGTAATCAAACGAGCTTCTCGCTTCGAGAGATCAAATCTCGTTAAAGCAAAGAGAAGCGAGGCAAAGGAAAACAGGGGAGGGCAAAAGTTTCTTCGGGGACATTCTAGGAAACGCCTGTTGTTTTATCTCTGCCCACCCAGTCATATTCGCGCACCCGCCACCCCCTCCCCATCGGCAGCCAATATTCTATTCCGCTCGGCGTTAACTTCCTCTCCCGGAGCAGCGAGCCGAGCGGTCGGGCGTGGAAAGGAGCGCTCCGCCGCTGGGGCACTAGCCAGTCGCGGCCGAGTGCGCGCTCTCCACCCTTTGCCCATCGGCTTCGCCTCGGTTGCGCGGGTATTCCCTAGCGCTTGAACCTCTGGAAGTTGGTGCTGCAGCAAAATCCGGCAAGGTAGGCTTTGGAAGAAGAACCGCTGGAGCAAAACTAGGTCTGGTTCGGCTTTTCTCTCCTGGTGGCGGGCGATGTTTGTAATAAGTGCCCCGTTACAACCAATAGAAGAAAGGAGAAATTGCAAAATTCGGTTGCACATTGAAAGCCTTTCCCCCTTTCTTTTCCTGGCGAGGGAAGTGGGGGGGGGGAGACGGGACCAGCTAAATACAAAATGTATTTCTGTACACGAAAAATGTTATCTTCACAATGATAACTTGTAATGTCTCTTTTCGGGAATCCAGCTCAAGGTTGAACTAAAAGTAGATCTTGGCTCAGGAATTACTTGATCAGTTTTGGAATGATTAAACAGCAGCAGCAGCAGCAAAGCCACACACGTTCCGGTTGCTGAGACGAAGTAAAGATGGAGTAACTAGGTTTGGAGTAACTAGGTTTGGAGTTTTGTAGAAGGACTGGCGCAGTAACTCCTGGTTTCATTCATTCTAAGAATTAACTTTTTGCATCAATTCCAGCTTAGTATATTTCGGGGTTTTTCTAAACTTAGTAAATACTATAATCACATTTATACACTTTTGCCAAATATTCCATAGGACAGTATTTCTTACATTCCTGACATCTTTTTGCTGTCTATATGAACATTCCTCCTGATATTCCCACCCCTCTATTATAGTGTATTGCAGTTACTCCTGATAATTGCATTACAAGTGATATATTGTAATTAATTGAGAATGCAGTATGTGAGGCATGATATGATCTCTGAAGATAATTTGATGGAAAGTATTCCAGAAGGAGAATATTGAGGTTCTGAACATATACAGAGCACCTTTTCTTCACACCAACAAACTATCACTGCTTTTTTTTAATAATCATTTTTCCCATTGAAAGAATGTGGCTTCCAAGTGGGTCAGTTCCCACAACTCTTATTTTATTTATTAAGCTCTGCTTAAGGATCTTAGAACATATGTGGGTGTGAAAATGGGGGAGGGAAGAGATGGCAAAGCATGCCAGTTTCTTCACAAGCTCTCTTCTGGTGTTGATCTCTGATACCTATTTGCTCACTTCTCTATGTGGCGGTTTTGTCAATTCTGCAAAACTTCCTGCCACAAAAAGTATACACAAGGTTATGTTGGCTGAACAGCAACTCTCTTGCAACACAGAGGAACTGCAGCATGAACTTTCACAGGGACTGAATCTTTTAAAACTACAGAAAAATAAGTATCATGATTCTGTGTCGTTTTTTTAATTTAATAATGGTTTGTAATGTATTATAAGGTTGCATTTAAGGATGTTTCCATACCATTGTAAAATGCTCTGGACTTCTCTGACTAGGAGAAAGAGCAATATAGAAATAAAATATCTTCCTCTTCCTCTGTATTTGTGCATGCAAAAGAAAACAGGTGCAAGTCACCAAATATAGCTGGGATAAGCAAAACATTAAGCCTTTCACCTCCCCAGCTTAATGTTACTTTTGAAACATACCTAGTACATACATATATATACATGCATACTAGCCAAACTGTGATAAACATAATAATGAATCACACATTTTATCTTCTGTTAAAAGCAGCTGCATTTGCAGTTTCATAAATAATTGAAGCACAGATTTTATTGGTTTCAGAGTTAGCCCCTGTCAGCCTTCTCATGTAGACCAGACAGGAAACATAACCAGATGAGCTAATTGTAAGGCTAAATTAACAGAAACTTGCAAGTCTGAAAATACAGATCTGCAGCCATCTTTTATTACCTGATAAATTTGGGAGGTTCATTTCTGAGTTTCTTTCTCTGCCCATTATGGAACTATGGGCTCCCCCACTCCCCCCCCCATCTTCCGAGGTCATTTCTGCATACTATTATGCCCCCAAACCCTAAAGTATACTTCTGTCCTTAATACAACTAGGTAAGCCTCAGTAGGTGGCTAGCTTTATCTGGGACTGGCAGCTAAGTAGGTGTGGGCCTATTTGCCATTTGTATGAGTGACTTCCAGGCTGGATTGAGAAATCAAAAATCTCCCAGAAGAGGGTTAGGGGTTAGGCAATCTATTTCTGCAACACCATCAAGAAACTTATGGAGATGTCAGGAACTGAGCTTGTCCTTGCAGTCTGGAAAATACATTACAAAACCCACATTGCGTATTTCTAGTTAGCTAGTTAATATTATCCTAGAATAGAAAAAGGAATTAGATTTTTTTTAGTTTTTTTAAAAGTAAATATTAACAGAGGCTGTATTGTATATTTCCAAGTTAGTCAGCAGCTAATATTATCTTGGAGGAGAAAGGAAGAAGCTAGATTTCATATCCGTTCCCTGATTAACTGCTATAACAGTAAGGGCCTTTCGGAGCTGACAGCTCTCAGATATTGAGAGCATGCTAAAATATATCTAGACATGTGCAGCAATTTCACAGTGCTAACTTTAGCACATATCCAGAAAGGTTTATTTTCATTTTGAACTTCTTAAGAACCTGCATATGTAGCATCCTTGAACCTAGGTAGTTTTATAATGGCTGTAAACAGGGCTTTTTTTCTCATAGAAGGCCCAGAACGGAGTTCCGGCACCTTTTTTGGATGGAACCTTGTAGGGTAGGCAAGGCGGGTTATATGACGTGTGTGAGTTCCGGCATTTTTTTTTTTTTTTTTACAAAAAAAGCACTGGCTGTAAAGCCTAGCTCAGGTGTAGGCAACCCAAAACACTTAAAGGGCCACTTGGACCCATTTCCCACCAAAAACAAAACACTGGGAGCCGCAAAACCCTTTTGATATCTAAAATGAAGATAACACTGCATATATCCTTTTTTACCTTTATTATAGGTGTGTGTGTGTGTGTGTGTATATGTATATATGTATGTATATATATACACACACACACACACACACACACACACATATACACACACAGGTAAAAAAAAGGATATATGCAGTGTTATCTTCATTTTAGATGTCAAAAGGGTCTCTCTCTCTGTCTCTCTCTCCCTCCCTCTCTATCTGCCCTTGGTCTGCCACTCCTCTTCCCCCGCTCTCTTTCTTTCTCTCTCTCTCTCTCTTTCCTCTCTCTCCCTCCCTCTCTCTCTCTTTCTCCCCCTCCTCCTATCTGCTGCTCACCTGGCAAGCTTCAAGCTGTTGTCCAACAAGCAACCTCGTCTCTTTTATGACTCATGGACTTCAACTCCCAGAATTCCTGAGTCAGCCTAGCTGGGCTAGCTAGCTCTCTCCTGTGCTTCCTGCTTCCTGCAGAGACGCAGCAAAGGGAGGAGCTCCGCCCAGTAAGCTTTTCACCTCCTCGGAGAATACTGCGAGTGCACTCTCTTTTACACATACACACAGACACACACACACACACAAAAACAAACACACACACACAGAGAGAGAGAAAGAGAAGCAGGGAAGCGCAATTGCCTCTCTCTGTCTCTGTCTCTCTCTGCAAAGGCAGAGGAGTCTGGGAGCCACAGGGAAGGCTCAAAGAGCCGCATGCGGCTCCGGAGCCGCAGGTTGCCGACCTGTGGCCTAGCTTGATCAGGTAGGGAAAACCAAAATACAGGTAGTCCTTAACAAATAACAGAATGACAGAGTTGGAAGGGACCTTGGATGTCTTCTAGTCCATCCCCTTGCTCTGGAAATCTTAAAATCCAACCCCCTCTGCTCTGGAAATTAGTCCAACCCCTGGTCCTTGACTTACAACCATTGGTACATTACAATGGTTTTTAAAAATGACTTACAACCAGTCTGATAGCATCCCCAGAACAACATGAGCAAAATTTGGATGCTTGGCAACCGGCATGTATTTACAATTGTTGCAGAGTCACTAGGTCATATGATCACCATTTGTAACCTTCCTAGACAGCTTCTTGACAAGCAAATGCAATGGGAGAAGCCAGATTCAGTTAATGACTGCATGATTCACTTAACAATTAACTGTACCAAAAAAAAGGCATAAAATCAGGCATAACTCACTTAACAACTGACTTGCTTAGGAAATTCTGGTCCCAATTATGCTTCTTCTCCCCCCACACCACCTAAAATTTTCTAGTGTGTTTTCCAAGGACCTCTGAGGGTGTCTGAAGGGTGTGGTCAAATAGGTTAAGATGGCAGCTGCAGCAGCACCATCAAAGGTCCACATATTTCCACATAAAAAACAGGGCATTGATCACAACATCATGACTGTCATACTAACTTTTCTTGACCATATTCAGCATACTCCTCTGATGACCTCTTTCCTTTTCACTTTATTGTTATATTTTTAAATTAATTTAAATTAAATTAAAAGGACCTACTTGAGAAGTGTAATGATTTCAGTGTTCAAAACAATTCAAAACAAAAGAAGTAAAAAGTAAAGTTTTCGATTACTGTTTAATTCAATGTAGATCAGAATAGAATTATTTTATTTGGTTGTTTAATTTTCTTATTGGTGAAATGCCTCAGTTGTAAAGAACTCTAGGCAGTTTGCAATTACAGGTAAATCCTTGACTTACAACAATTCATTTAATGACTGTTTGAAGTTATAATGACACTGAAAAAAATGACTTATGACCATTGCAGCATCCCCTTGGTCACATGATCAAATTTTGGTTACTTAGCAACTGACTTATATTTATGATGGTCGCAGTGCTCTGGAATCATGTGACCATTTTGACAAGCAAAGTCAATGGGAAAGCAAGATTCACTTTACAACCGTGTTACTAGCTTAAAAACTTCAGTGATTCACTTAATAATCATGGCAAGAAAGGTCATAAAATGGGACAAAACATCTTACTTAGCAATAGAAATTTTGGGCTCAATTGTAGTTGTAAGTTGAGGACTATCTGTATTAAAGCAAAATAGTAAATATACATTCAATCAGTGAAATAAAATAACAAATATTAATAATCCTGGTTCATTAACCAAAGGTGGAAGACAGATTGTAAGGTGGGTTTGCTTAGAGAGGATGAGAATTTGTTAAAACAAATAAAAGATCAAAGACGAACCCATATTAAAAGAATTTATGGGGTGTTAGTGGAATTGGATTCAGAAGCA